CGAACGATCGTGAACATCTGTCTCTCTCTCCCTCCCACGCATGCACACTATCTTTCTCTACCTCTTCCTTCTTTTTACCGATTTCATCCTCCTGAATCGTTTCATATTTTTTCCTATATTTGGACGAGAGCCGAACGATCGTGCTTAGAAGATTCGAATAGGGAAAAAAGAAAGTAGCGCGAATCTCGAGAGCGTCGATCGATTCGAATGGTTCGAGACTTCTACCTCGGTGTCGCGAAAATTTAACGGAAAATTTTCTAGTTGGCTTTTGCATAGCCGATCACAGAGTAAACTCGAACGTAATCGCGATAAAAGGAAAAATAGAAAAGAACGCGATGCATTTTATTCACCATCTCGCGATTTCTTGCTTTCCCTTTTATTAATCGAACGCACGACCACCTCGTTTCGTTTCGATTCGAGACACTTTTCTCTCCGATCTCAGGCTCGTGGTTTTTCGTATTGCTATTCGATGAGATTAAAAATCGAGTCAAACGAGGACACGTTTAAATAAAAGGCATCGTTCAATTTTGAGACGGTGAAACTCGTCGCTGAAATACCCCTATTTTTTCGTGGAAGATTACAATTCCAATGCTCGTCCGTTCCATCCTCCCTTATTCTTCTTCTATCCGGTGCATTTCAACTGGGCCGCGTTCGTTGGACGAACGAAAATTCGTTTAAAAAATCGCGATTGCCCCCCTCGAAAATCGAACAACGTATAAAATAGAAAAATTTGATTGTCCCGGCTTTGAAATTCTATTCTTTCGTTTCACCTTTAGACGAATGCTTTCAGAAATTTGCCATTTAATCATGCAAAGGTGACGGAATAGAAATAAAAGCGAAACCATAATTAAATTATTATCGATTCGTTTGTTTTTTCATTATTTTCCCTTTTGCAACTCGAGTACTTTCCTATTGACTATATCGGTTCGATTGAAAATCTATTGATTTGCAGATAATCGAATTTACAGATTATGCAGCGATATCGCGAACGTTCAATACTATGTGTACCTAGAAGTGTTTGCGTGTATGTGTGTGTCTGTAGATGTACGAAACCATAAAACGAAATAGAAATTCGTACGGGAGTTGTCCGCTCTAAAATGTTACAACTTACAAGGGGAACTACTCAAGTGTTACACTCACTTATTAATGAAACTTTGCCAGCTTGTAGAGCTCGTCGAGCTGAACACGCCTATACCCCCTTTTGGGGGCAGACGGCTAATTGTTTAAAAGGTATTAACAATTACAGTTAGTTACTCCTTACATTCTGAAGTATGACAAACTCACACATACAACTTGCAATCTAGAGATCCACGGTTCAAATCCTTGGTTCTCAACATTTTTTTTTTTATTTTAATGATAATTTGTCTCCTTTTGAATAACTATTACATAAAAATTATCATAAAAAAAAAAAAAAAAAATTGTTAGGAACCAAGGATTTGAACCTAGGACCTGCAGATTGCGAGTCATGGATCCGCTCCGTAGTTAAACTCATGACTCGCAATCTAAAGGTCCTCGGTTCAAATCCTTGGTTCCCATTTTTTTTTTTTTTTTTTTTTTTTTTTTAATGATAATTTGTCTCTTTTTGAATAACTAAAATTCTGTATAATTCTAAACTAAAATTCTATAAAAATTGCAGTGTATGTAATTAATTATTAATAAATCCAATGATTATAGCACAGTTGTAATAGTTATTCAAAAAGAGACAAATTATCATTAAAAAAAAAATCTTGGGAACCATGAATTTGAACCGTGGACTTTTAGATTACGAGTCAAGCGTTTTACCACAGAGTTAACCGTTTGTATGTGTGAGTTTGTCATACTTCTCAATGTAAGTAGCAATTAACTTTAATTATTAATATCTTTGAAACAATTAGCCGTCTGTCCACAAAACGGGGTATAGGCGTGTTCAGCTCGACGAACTCTACAAGCTGGCAAAGTTTCATTAATAAGTGAGTGTAACACTTACGTTAGGTAGTTCTCCGTATTATTAAAGAATAACATTAATAGAAAAATAAATTTTATCGATGCAAATGAATTGCGCTACAATAATACATCATATAAAATGGTATAATACCGCGGTAATGCAAAATTTTACCCCTTCTTCTTTTCCCGCTAGTCATAGTTGTGTTAATTACTTATTAGAACACGGGGAATGACGATCGCAACATGGTTCGATTTTGCTAAAAAACTTTTCATCCCTAAAGTGTTGTTCGCCCTTTTAGTAGACTCGAATCGACCGATCGTTCTGACACGAAGAAACTAATAATTCCACCGATAGTAAAATCGTAAGGGAAAAAGAAAGTAGAAAAATCGTGGACGTTGCATCGAAAATGCGCAACTCTCGGAACTATTGTTTCTGCGTGGAAATATCGAATGTTATCTTGGAAAAACTGCGTTCGTGAAATGTTCGATCGGTAGTGAAAACAACTCGATTCTAAGCCGTTCGACGTAAGAAATATCGCATACGTAGTATTGCTTTGACGTACTTAAACGCTAATCTATTCGAATGAGTAGCTTACGTATTCGTACATTTTGAATAACTTTAATCGGAGGTAAAGAGAAGAAGACTCGTTTAAAAATTCTACTCTATTCGAACACTGCTGCCGCAGTTCCTCTACGTTTCGGCATAGAAACTGTTGCTTTCGCTCGGCCAACGGCCTCGTTGGTTCTGTACTTTGCGTTTTAAAATATAGAATCGTCAAAGTTGGACGATTTAACGATCGTTGAAACGAATCTGTACGGAGAATCGTCGTTCAGTCGATGGATCCGACATCGTCGTATGAGAAATCGCGAATCGAATCGCTTCGTTTCTTTTCCTTTCGTTTTATCTTTCGACGCTCCGGGTGTTTGCGTTACTTCTCGAAAGAATACGTCCCGTAGGTGCGTAAACTAGCGAAAGAACGCGATCTACCGATCGGACTTGGCCGATTTCCTCGCGCCTTAAACGCGCGTCTGCAACAACGATCGTCTTTTCTTGTTTTTATTTTCTCTCTAAGCACAGAGTATTTCTTAAATCTCTCTAATATAAACAGGTTACTTCGATTATTTAGAAAAAAAGAACGATACAAAAGGGACTGGTAAGAGCGAATTGGCTAGCAACGCGATCGATCGACGATCAATTGTCGTATCGATACTTTGTCGCTATACACAGTACGCTATTTAAGGGTAATTAATCGATCGGTATCTTTTCTTTAATCATCCATTCTTTCTGTTTCTCTCATTCATACCGCATTTCACGTCATCAATTCTTTTCTACTCCTCTCGATCCTTTTCAACCGGTTTATATTTTCACAGTAAAATTCGTCGAAAAAATACGAGAGGGACCACGTTGCCTTGCGTCGATTTAATACCGTGAACGATCAATTGCACGCGAATTAACGAGTGGCTAAAATCGTACGAGAGATACGAAACTGAACCGAACCAAGAACAGTCTTGCGTTACCTTATTTTCATCTTTATTTGAAAATCCCTTGATGGAACATGATTCGAAAGCCAAAGAATATACAAAATTTCGGCGGTTTGTAAAATTTGCCTAGAAATCTGATAGAAAATAGCACGCGATAGACGAGAAAATATGAATCGCGACGCAATCGTGAAATTAGCGTTAAGGTGTCGGATCCGCTTAAGCGTAGTTACTTACTTAAAATTACGTTAAGCGTAATGTGTGCAATATCCTACATTTGCAGCGCAATTTCCTCCTTGGCCGTCGTGCCGTTCCGTCCACTCGGTCACGATCGATCGTGTTCGATATAATATTAATACTGTGCTGAATCGCGCTGATAAAATGATTACTTTCTTACGTTTGTTCTCCCATCGCGGAGATTCGAGAAAAGGACAATAAAAAGGAAAACTGTACGATAAAATAAATCAAGACGATCGTTCTCAGGTTTTTAGAAAAATGGTAAGCAATGGCAAATTGGCCGATTCGTATCAGTTTCGAGCCACTAACGTTTACACGCGCGTATGTACGACGGATATGTTTCGAGTATAAAGAATTAGAAACAGGATGTCCATTCTCGATCGATCCGCGTTTAAGGAGATATCTTATTCCCTCGAGGTTCTCCTTTCTTTCGATCTTCGAACGAACGTTCGCAGGACACAGGGGAAAAGAAAACACACAAAGAAACGAAAAAGGTCAATGAATATCTATGCTTAATCTGCATTTAACTAGAGTACGAAAAAAAAGAAACTTGTTAACAAAACAGAAAAATACGAAATAAAGGAAACCAAGTCAACGTCGTCTATATCTGAATACAATAATAATAGTAATAATAATCATAATAATAATAATAATCATAGTAGTAATAAAGTACTTAACGCTTTTCTCTCGAATACAAGCGAGCTATAGAGTACTCTTAACATTATCAACGGTAATAAAAATGAATTTAAAAATAAGGATCACGGTACAACGATAGTCGTCGCTATTCTCTACGATATAACGCGGGCAACGTTAAATTACAGGTGAACCTAGAAATAACGTACAAAAAGGATCCATCGAATCGTGTAAATAGTTTCTAAATCAGTAGGACTTGTTCACAGTCCTGTTAATACCTATTGGGTTCTTATCAAAATTCAAGGATCGAGATATAAACCAAGTCTTTTATGAATCGAAAGTAAAAACGTTCTCTCTCGTTCGTTTCGTAACTTCCGTGCAACTTTCGTGGATCGAGGATTGACTAGTAATGTACTTGCTTTCGCGATTTCTTTCCTCCCTTCTCGTTCTTTTACACCTTCGTCTTTTCGTTCTTTCTTTCTTTTTTTTTTTTGCTCCTTTTCTTTTATTACATTTTTTTTGTTTCTGTTATTTTTGCTAAGAAAGCTTTCGTCGATGTTCAAAACGCGATTTCAGATGGATTTATTTACAAAACGGGACAAAGATTTATTGCGATGCTCGTGTCGTATTCGATGCGGCGAAATATGAAAGAGCACACGTTATTAAAAATAGAAATGCAATGTAAAAAAGGGGCGAAATCGCGTCTTGCATCGCGACAGGTGTCTCCGTTCGATCGTTTCGTTTTGTTTTTTTTTTTGTATTTTTTTCTTTTTTCTTTGTTTCTTTCTTTACCCAGAGGTGGGCAGGATACTACCACTGGTATAAAAAAATAAGGATGATCGTTAAACGAGCTCCGCAAAAAGTTGCTTTAATAAAAAATTATATCCTTCGAGTACGAAACCTCGCGTATGGTTTGGTAACTTTGAGTTAAGACTTAAGTTGCACTTGTAAGTTTCCTCTAATTTCATTATCGTCTTTACCGTCCACGTCGTTCTAGTCGTCGTCGTCGTCGTCGTCGTCGTCCTCGTCCTCCTTCGTCGTCGATTATATTACAAACTCATAGAAATTTGCCTTCACAATTATACGCTAGGACAAAAGTGGCTATCTTAAGTAAATAGTATTAGTAACAACAGACTTCTACGATAACTTACAAATACAGACGGCGAAATTTTTACAATAAAAACAAACGTTCACGTATAAATGTACATAAAAAGATACGTAGAAATTCGAAACGACGTTTTAAAAAAATTCAGTTTCATCCTCGCTGTTACAAAAACGTTTCGTTCTTTTTTTCCTCGTCTCCTTTCATCCCTTCTCTCTTTCCTCCCATATTTTTTTTTTTTTGCTTTTTTTCATATCATTTTTCTATATATCTAAAAGACTTTTACTATTTCCCATAAAAACTTCCACAAAACAAAAGCAGTCAGACTTTCTATTTCTACGTAAAAAACGCATGCACTGTGCCCGCCTCTGGGATGCACTTAACTTTGTATATTACTATTCTCCGCGCTCTTTGTTTTATTATTTTCTTCCATTCACCCGGCAAACATACACACACGTGCACACGCATACGCGCTCTTTCTCTCCTCTCCCTCACTCCTTGCCAATTTCTCTCATGCGTAAAGTATTTTGTTAATTTTCAGGCTCTCGTTAAAAAAATAAAAAAATATTTTCTTCCCTCTGTTTCTCTCGTGATTTCAGAAATTCGGCATTCCGTTTCTCCCACCCCCCCCCACCTCGCCGCTCTATCCTTCGCCGTTCCTCGCCCCAACTCTCCCGCACCCTTTCGTTCCCATTTCATTCTCACCCTTACTTTCGCTCGTCGCTATTACGCTTTCCTTTCGCCCTGTAAGAACATTGCACGGCTCCCAGCTCCAGTTTTATACTGTCTTATAGCCTTATCACGGTTTACGCTCTAAGTGTCTCCGTAAAACATATACACGTACATACATTTAAGTTTACATCGTTACCCCACATTTACATTAAAACGTACCTAAAGTGTTTGCATAGTCGCGCGACCAGTACCGCGGGCGCAGTGGATTCACCTCGCTCTCGATCTACTAATTACAAACTGATCGATTTCGTTGATCGATGAGAATCGAACGAAAACCGCCTACCCCGTAGACGTCCCCGTCGATCCAAGTAAGCGAATTCCTAGGTAATTGGAAGCTACCTTTAACGTAGCTACCGACTGGCATCTTACCAACCCAATCTCCATTTCCATTCCTACGAAATCGTGATACCTTTCTCGCGGTGAAATTTACAATGTTCCGCTTCTCCATCACTGATCTTACACTGATATTACACGGAGTTTGAAAAATGGCAAATTTTAGAACCGTTTCAGTTCGATGAAATGAAATTTCTTCAACAGATTCGAATAGGGAAGAAGAGGAAGAAGAAGAACACGAAAATTTCAATCGATCTGAGAAAAATCAAAAAAGATACCACGTATCAAGCGTAAAAAATGACGAACGTGCAAGTTAATCGCAACTATGTCTCTGTTCCTTTTCTACATCTCCCGCGTCCAAATAAACATTATTATATATATATATTCTAGCAGTGCCTAACTTGCACGTGCCCATGTATACATCAAATGTACAAGTACGTTTGACTGTTTCTTTGGTACATGAAGATACATGTGTACATGTATAATAGTAGACGCATCTATAATAATAGTAGTAACTGTAAAAATAGCAAAAGTAATGATAATAGTAGTAATAATAATAATAATCGTAATAATAATAATAATAATAATCGATGAATAATTGAATCAGTAGTAGTATGTTGCGATAAACTGTAATCGTGTAATAACAGCGTTAATATTAATTGCGTTCAAGCGCTATGAACTAATAGTAATCGTCGAAAATATCTCGTGAAAATATAAAAATTTGTAGAAGGGAAAAAATAAAAGGAAAGGTTTTACAAAAATAGGAAAGTGTTCCACGCGGTAGAAAAAGCCTGTACAACATTGTAATCGGAGAACCGTGCGTGCCTAAGAAATCGGTACAAAACTTGTAAAAATCAATTCGACACGTCTCTCCTTACGAGGTATCGCGTCCGTTGCGATACAGATCGTTCGACAACGACGAAAGAATCGACGCGGTAAAGACGGATACTGCGAAAAATAAAAGGAAACAAAACAGGAGAATTGCTTAACAAAAACTTATCGCTACGAATAATACGAACGTCTATGCTTCCACGTGAACCGTACGAGGACGATTAGAAAAGATAAAAAATAAAAGTAAAAAAAAAAAAAAAATAAATGAGGGAGGAAAAAAAAAATAAAAATCTGTCGCGTCGTATCGTACGCGTAAAGGGGTAGATCGGTGGATGAGCAAGCAACTAGATTACGATTCGGAGAGCTACGTAGGTAGGCGTGCGTTTCGCTTCGATTTCCGCGATTACGTTCGTTAATTTGTCGTCGAACTCGATCGCGAAGCGAGGCTCGAAAACGGCGCGTCACTCGGCACAAGTTTCTCCGCGAAAAATCGCTCCTCAGGATTCCTGGCCGCGATCTCAACCCCGACTTCCTAAACGTTATATACTATACGGGCAACAACAAAAATACTCTCTATTCTACGTCTCGTAAATGATGATAGGATTAACGCGGAGGTTGGATCGCGGCCGCGTATCAGTAACGCGTATCCCGCGTGTCAACGTTCCTTGGATAACGCGCACGGAGAACTCGCGCGTTTTTTACGAGTTTTCCAAGCTTTTCGAAGCTTTTCAAAGCGTTCGCGTCAGGCGTCTCGATGCCCGTCGTCCGCGGAACGTAACGGCAAGCAACGCGTTCGCTGAACGAGTCGAGACTTTTCTTCGGTTTGGAAACGGAAGGAAATTCGGTGAAAAGTAACGAATTTCCATTCGTTTCGTACGATTCAGCGATCGCGACGCGTTCTCCGAAATTCGCTCCCGTCATCTCTCTCATACTCTCTCACTCACTCTCGCGTACGCGCTCTCGCGCTAGAACGTTTATCAAATGCACCTAATCGCACGGGCGCTAAAACGCAACGCTCCTCTCACACATTTTCTCCAAACTAAGATATTTAGATAAGAATATAACAGCAGTATAAAAAACTTTTCAACACTGAAAAATACAAATCTATCGTAAATGACTACCATTGTTACTCGTTCCCCTTCCCACCCTCCCAACCCCCAACTTTACATCCTTATCTTTCTTTTCTTTTCTTTTTTAATTATTCAAACGCGTTACTCGCGCGACATTACATCCCCGCGTAGCCGCGATTCGCCAATTAACCACTTTTCACACCCGTTCTTTTCTCTATTTTCCTCGACCTCCCCCTACTGTCGTGTCGCGCAACACTTTATTCCCAATTATATTCCGTACATTTTCTCTTCTCTTTTCGAATCTCTCATAATATATTAGATATTTCGATCATTATTATCAATTATATATTAATATTTCCTATATAAATATAAATATATATGTATACGTATATATTTATATTTATATTTATATCCATATTCATATTCATATTTATGTATCTATATATATTCTATATAATTGTCGTTATATATTATGCTTTATCACACATATTACAAAGGAGGTGAAGAATCATACCTAATATATTATTTATTATTTTTCTTGTTGTTACTTTTGTTACTGGCGATATCAAACGACAACTCTGTGGCCGAAGTGGTTGAATCGGAATTACTATCGTCGGTTACTTTAGGTGAAACTGATCGCGCGGCACCATGATAGATGCGTTTCATCGCGTGTACGCGTGCAAAGTGAAGTTTCGCGAGTTCGATCGCGCCTTTTGATTCCTCCGCTTTCTCGCCTGCTCTCTCCCTCTCAACGAATTCTCTCCGAGATCGTGATTTTCGCGGGTCCGCGAGGAAGAAAAGGGATTTTCGTCGGATGTCGTTCGAGAAATGGAGGCTCGACGAATTTTCAGCGTTTTCACGTATCAAAATTACGAGTGATATGTCCGCTTCGAGCAACATTGTTCTTGGAAACGCGAAATAATTTTCACTAAAGATCCGTATCGAACCGCGTCCGCGTATCGGAGTCGGTCAAATGAAATTTTCTAATTTAATTTTTCACCTAAGGTTCGCGGGACACGCGATCGCGCCGTTGAGACCGGGGAAAGAAATCGACGAAAAATCGTTGGCGCAGCTTGCCAACGCGGAGGCACGCCAATTTCGAAAGCGACGCGACCGACCAACTCGCCAGCGATCAACGAACATCTCGTCGAAACTTTGTCGCTCCTACTTTCGCCTTCGATTATTACCGTGCGTATGTGTGTGTCCTCGTATGCGCGTGTGTCGCCGCCAAAGCGATACACCAATGCCGTGCAAGAATTTCGCGAAACGTTACACGAATTCCGAACGATCGTTCTATATCAACAACATTTGGTCAAACATCCATACGCGAGGAGAAAATCCGATTATAGTCCCGCGTATAGGACACGCGCATACGAAGTTTGTGTGTAGGTGTTGAGTGTGATGTATGTTGCACGCGCACGTGGATGCATAAATCGGTACGACCCGCGCCAGAACGCGAAAATCGAGAAAGAAATCTGTTCTAACGCGTATACCGTATAAAACGCGCGAATAAACGCCAATAGTAAGATTCAGAGACGCTCCACGATCCGGCGGAGAACTCTGGATTCTTTTAATATATTAGAAAAATTTGTCTAGAAAAATCTTGATTTCGATTCCCGTCCAAATACCTGACGCGTTCTTCAAGTATTGGCATTATGCTATCGTTCCCTCTTTCTCTCTCTTTCTCTCTCTCCCTCTCTCTCCCTCGTTCACGAAATACATATCTATATATTTATATATTTATATATACTTTTTTTTAAATTATCAATTGATTTAGGTGAATTGGTACCTAGTTCAGTTTTACTAGAATCATATCGATTAACGGGGAGAGCCTCGTCTCTGTGCACGAACGAGATCGCGTGTGTACGTATCTGCATCGTGTGTAGCTGTGTGTACGAAATGTGTGTCCACGCGTGAAAGCGTTGCGGACGCATACGTCGTGCTAGTTAACGGCAAGTCAATTTTCACCTAGCGTACGAATCGCGGAGATGGTTCGTCGATTTATTTTCTTACTCGCTCGAGTTCGATTTCAAAATTCCAATTACGTCCTTTTTATATCGTTTTCAAACGAACCGTGTTTTCAGAAACAATCGAGAAATCATCTCCTTTCACCGCCTCGTACCTGTATAATCGTAACGCGCGTCTGTTATCTGCGTTTAATAAATTCAATTCGGGACATATCGACGCGTGTGTTTACGTATACTCCGCGTTATCATTGTTCCTCGTTCACGCGAGACAATGCCGACCGTTGAAAAATTACGCTATCTAATGCTCTTGATTTTCCTCCACACTTTCCATCCTGTCGTTCTGTTCCCTCTTTCTCACCCAGTCACCCTCTCGCGCGCACACACTTTTCCTCGCGAGGAGCCCTTTCGTCCATCGATCGTTCGCTAACTACCCGATAAAAGATACCGAACCGTGCCGCGTTTCTCTTTCATCCTACCACCTTCCTTTCCCTGTTCGCCGTTTAAAGAGCCGAAGGAAAGCAAGATCGTAGTTATCGACACGAATTCTCAAGAACGAAAGGACGAAGGATTGGAACGAAATGCCAATTTCTCCCGCGAGTCTTTATCCGCTTCTTTTTTTTTTCCACTCATACGTTCGCTTTCTCTCTTGCGTACATCCGTCCCACGTGCGGTGTCTAGATGTCACCCTATCTACGGTGACGAGTATATACAAAAAGATTACCAAAAAAATAAATATATATATGTATATATAATTATACGCATACGTATGGATTCGTGTGTATTCCATTCTTCGTTTCCAAGATGTACGCAACGTATCAGATCGAGCCATTATCACCTGTTATATATATTTTTTTTCTTTTCTACCGATTTCGTTATCGAACGACAACGTTTGCGGTACGATAGATGCGTGTTGTACGACTGTGTGTTGTGGATTGTAGACTGTAGACTGTGGGTGTTGGGTTTTTGGGGTGTGTCGCGAATGCGTACACGCGAGAGCGTGTCGTCAAAGAGACTGGTGGTGCGAGGTTAATCTACGAGCTTACGGTTTCGAATGACGATGAGATGCTGCTACGTATAGAACGATCATCTATTAAGCGGAACACAGAACGCTGCATAGAAATGGCCTTTCCACGCTCGTCGTTTGGATCGTTCGAATAATCGATTACGATTCGCCCGCTCGAAGAGTAAATCGATTGATCGATCGTTCTTCTGTCCGCGAACGACGCGCCAAGGAAATCACCACCGAGAATACTCTCAGCTAGCTGCTCTCTCGAAGAATAGAAGAATCTGTAATAACGCGCCCCCGTTGAGACGAGATTTTTCATTTGAACTACGTCGATTGCCTCGCTGCACTTGATTATATACATCGAGCGAAGTAATTCGTTAGGATTAAGAAAAACGCGCATCGTGGGCCGCGGTTAAACACGGCTTGTATCGGTACAAGAGGAAACCGTTTATGTACAAGAAGAGGGATCCATGCGAGCCTTTTCCCTATACCGATCTAACGTGTTTGCACGAAAAAAAGAACTTTACTCCTCGCACGCGTTTCGTTTGCTTCGGAATTTTCTACCGGACGTATGAAGAGTAATTACCCTACGACCTCGATCGCCGCGTTTCTTCCCGGACGAGCGAGTTTTCCTTTCTCTTCGCCTTGGAAGAGCGTTAGCTCGAGTATACTTGCGCGACGGAGACGTTCTCGTCTTTCGTTTTTCGAAAAAGGAACGCGGAGGCTTAGATACGCGGAATCGTTTTCTCGCTATCGCCTGGAAAAAAGATTCGCTTTGTACCGTCTTTTCGTCTCTTTCCTTTCCTGAAAACGAGCTAAGATTCCGTGTTATTGGGAAAAAAATCTGGTACGGTTAAAGCTAGCGAATCCAACTAGAGTCTTTTTCAACGTCTCGCTTCTCTAAACCTCCGATTCCTCCGCTCTACTTTCTTTCACACCCTCCCTCTTCTCTTTCTCTCGCGCGCATTTTCACTATCTTACGCACTCTCTCTCCCTCTCTCTCCTTTTCGTTTTCGCTCTCCCCTCGTTCCCTAATTTTTCGCTACGTTTTGCACTCGAATAAGTTAATTAGTAAAAAATCGTCTGCTTCATCCAAACATTCTGCCTAGGAGCGTGAATCGCGTTGCTCACGCGAAAAACGCACGTGTATAATATATATATAATGTATGTATGTATGTATATATAACGCACCTATGTAACATATTTAATAAGTTCTTAATACCTAAAGACTGTGATACAGAGAATTATCTAATACACAGCGGTTCGAAGCGTGGATGTTTTTTTCATTATCTATTCAACGTTCAATACGAATGATTCGCCTCCCAGTTTCGCGTCCCTATTTTCTTTTCTTTCTATCACTCTCCGCCGCGTTTTTACCATCGTTTTGTCCCGACGATTCGCTCGATTCTATCAACGTTTATCGGTCGCCTCGTCTCGCGCCTTTTCGTCAATTCGTCCGATCTTTCGTCGTACTTTCGCGGTGCTGTCAGGTACTCGGTATATCATTTTTTTTTTTTTCTCTCTTACCGTTTCGATCCGCGTTCGCGCTCGCTTCTTTCGTCCGGCGAAGCCGTGATCCATCGACGAGAAGCCGCGACTCCGAGCGCGACGAATCGGAGCTTCGATTCTCTCTCTGGATCTTTGCCATCGAGCAGACAAGAGGATCGACGAAAGGAAGGAAATTTTCCATGGCTGGTTACACGGTGTGCCTATCTCTCTCTCTCTCACTCGGTCCTTAGGTTTCTCTTCTTCTTACCCTAGCCCGTTCGAACAAAGGACAAACGATCAGGAGAAAGAAGAAAACGAGCCTCTTCTACCGACGCGTTCGACGAGGAAGTTTCCGTTTTCAGTCGACTCGCTCGATCGAAACGAAGAGAGGGAGAGATATTGAGAGAAGAGGAGAGGAAAGAAAAAAGAGAGAGAGAGAGAGGGAGAGAGAAAGAGAGTCGAAGAGAAGCGAAGAAATAATCTGCTACGTCGGGTACGAAAGCACCTTCTTCGCGATCGATCGACGCGAGAAACTCTCTGTCCACCTTTGCCCGGAACGCTGAGAGAAAAGAGACGAGCGAACGGGGGCAAGCAGAAGAGAAACTCGCGCCTCTCGGTGAAACGTGAAAGATGCGAGTCGCGAACGCGCCAACAACGTGTCTCGAAACGAGAAAATTCGTAATATTCGGTAACTAACGAATGTTCGATCTCGATACAGACGGAATACGTTTACGAAGTGTTAAGTCGTCGATAACGGGCGTCCGCTTCTTCCACTTCCGGCTGGCGGATTCTTTCTTCCGAGTGCTTCTTTCCGTGGTTTCCTCCGTGCATTGCTTCGACGAGTCGCATCGGCTGGTAGAACACGGCGGTTGGTTTGTTCGCCGAGTATCCGGTAAACGCGTTCAAGTAGCAGTGGATAGCAGAGTAGAGAAGTAACTGGTAGTAGAATAGTAATGGTGTGGTAGTAGCGATAGAACGGTAATAGTAGAGTATCGATAATAGTGATGGTGGTGTTGGTAATAGAATAGCGGTAGTTACGAAGGATCGAATGGGTAAGTAACGGTGGTGACGGTGGTTCTCGGGGTGGTGTGTTTCGGCAAGGTAAGTAAGCGAGAGGTGGGTGGCTGAGGGGCGGGAGTCGCGGAATGTCGGACTGGTGGAAGAGTGCGGATGAACGGGTGGGTGAGTGGGTGGTGGTGGTGGTGGTTGGGCGAGGAGCGGCGAGCGGTTGTTGGAGGGCCTGGTGGATAAAGGGGAGGTGGTTCGTAGAAGTGGTAGTTAATTAGCTAGGGTTGCGCGATAATTAAGGACAACGCAGCTGGGGTTAACACCAGCGGTAAGGCACGGCTCGAGGCCGATCCGCGCCCTCCTTCACCAGCGGCTTGTGGAATTCCCGACCTGGTCGCGAGTGAATCGTCGCCCAACAGTGCTCGCAATAGTACTGGAAAAAAGAAAAGACGAGGAAATTGGTTGCTCGCGTACGCGTACCAACGTTTTCGTGCAGCCAAGACGAAGAGGCGGGGAGGAATTTACCTGTAAGCAGGTAACGTTCGCGCAAAAGAACGGTGCGAATTTCCCTCCGCAACGTTGCCCCTGACATTCGTCGCACATCTGATCGTCCAAAACGTACGGCTTCACTTCGACCTGAGCAACGAATAAACGTGTGAGCCGTTGAGAACGCGTTTAGAAAGAACCTAAGACCACTTACCCTTTTGTCTATGTCGCCGTGTTGTAACTGAACGAATCTGGCCGATATGGCAGCTATGTAGCTCTGCTGATTGCTGAACGCGACCCGGCCAGCCCCTTTCGGATATTTCAGTTCCGGATCGGTATCGATGCCGGCGTAACACACGCCTCCGTAAAGTCGGTCCATGATCATCGCCAGCTCGACGGCTTTCAACGGTCGCGGAACACCGCCGACGAACACGGTTTTTCGTGGATCCAACGGCATCGATGCGTCCAGCACAAAATCCGCGTCGCTCAACCGCCACGGTCGAATCTGCACCGGTTTGTCTTTAGTCGTCGGCGAGCTTACGCACAGATACAGTTTCTCCTCGTCCTGAATGCACGCGTCGATCAGCTGTTGCACCGACGCTTCGTCCTGCGAATTTTTAAGTAGAATCGAATCGATCACTCGTTCCGTCTCGCGAAATCACCAGAATGTATCTGAATTACCTGGAAAAGCAGGAAAGCGTAGCCCTTTGGTGGAAAGTAGGATTTACTCTCCGCCTTGTGCGGCCAATCGACGACCAGCGATCCGAAACGACGGAAACTGGCTTTGATCTCCTCTGGAATATCGTGAAACAGTGTGTGATATTAAAATACCGAATGACGTAAAATCGATTCGATCGATCGAAAGGGAAAACGTACCTTCGTCGATGTCCGGTGGCAAACCACCGACGAATACTTTCCTAGAGAAACGTTCCCCGTTTTCGCTGCCCTGACTGTGAGGACTGCTCCGACTCGGCGAAGAAAGCGGCGCTGCTTGAGAGCCGGTTATCCCGCTGCCGACCCCGACGCCAACACCGACACCGACGCCGACGCCGACACCGACTCCAACACCGACACCGACACCGACACCTACGCCAACGCCGACGCCATCCAACTGACTCGGCGCGTTCGGGTCCTCCAACAGGGTTCCGCTTTGATCCTCCAGACTCGGGAAGAACGGTGATTTGCCTGAAACCATAACACGCCAACGCTCTCGTTATTCCCACTTTCGAGTATTCCTCTTCTTCGCTCGAAAAATTCGCCACGCGACTCGACCCGACTCGATGCTCGGTTTCGATGAAACGCGGAAACGGCAAAGTGGTTCGATTTCGCGACAAAACATGACAATAAATCGCGATATCGCGCGACAGACATCGCCATCGTTCGTCGAATCGTCTCGATCCTCCGCTCCGAAACTCACTGTATCTTCTTCGAATAGGAAATCTCGCTCTTCTGATGAACGTCGCCATTGCCGGCGAATCTTCGGTTACGCGTAATGACAACGAAAGTGAAGAAAACGTGAATTCGTGCAAATGTGATCGTTTGTTTGCCGCTGTCGTTAAGGGAACGCAGAAAACGAGCAAAACGCGTGCGAGTGTAACGGAGCACTCGCGAATGGACACTGCTGCATTTACGAAACAGTCGAGCGTACCCACTCGGCGCTCGTCTTTTTCTTCCTCGGTTACTCGCGCGAGTCGAGAATCGATATTGTTTCGACAATTTGTCTGGTCGAACGGCTGTTTCGTCCCCCGCGAACGCGGATAACGATCCTTCCGGCGACGAGAAAAATGAAAAACAGCCGCGTGGATGGAAAAGCAGAGGGTGCTAGAGGCTGTAACGGGAATCGAGCCATTTACTCGAAATGGATTCGAAGCAAGCTCCATCCAAGATTCGCCCCAGGCTTCGAGGGTTTACGAACCGAGTCCACCATCTACTGTTGCCCTTTCTAGCTACGCCCGAGGAACGAGCAGAAGGAGATTTAATCCCCGCACCCCCGAAATAGCCGTGCGATAATCTGTTACGCGTATAGGGTGTTGGTATAAAATTTCATCGAAGCGGAGCATGACTGGCACGCATCGTGCTCCTATCGATCCGAACGCGGTTTCAGGCCCTAGGTCTTCCTTTCTCCTAACCCCGGGCCTCGATTTCTCGTTAATCATTCGCTAACCCCGACAGGGCATTCGATCGACCAGGCTAAGACCTTTCCTTTTTCCGACACTTTTCCAGGGACTCGTGTTTTATTCTTCTCCGACGATTCCTTTTCGAAGCACGAGCAAAAATCGACCTTGTGCAAGCAAAGAATCTCGTTTCCTATTTTATCTTTATCCGGTATCTTTCGGCGAGACTGGCGAACCGGCGCGGTTGTTAGGAGCGAGTATCCGCTTGACGCGATACGATTTAAAAGAGGGCGGTTCGGGACGACGCTGGGCATCGCTGGGGTCCAAACTGGTCGAGTTTCGTGAGATACATACTCTCGGGGACGTAGATAAGGGAGAAGGCGAACCGATAGCGCACCCTTCGGACGGGGAAGCACCTCGAGGCTTAACCACGATTCCGTAACTTCTTCGACCCTTTCGAGGAACCAGTTAAAACGGATAAGTCGGTGCATGCGTGATCGCGATAGCTCGGCAAACTGCAGACACGGCACGAGGCGTCGCGACACGAAACGGGAGGGTTCTCGATCGACCGAGACCAGCGGAACGACAGGGTGGCTAAACGAGAAATAATCTGCACGGATGGATCGAGACTTATCGTTTTAAGAAATTATTGAACGCTTTCCCGTTTCACGTATATGACTCATAGCTGTTGTTTCTTGCGTCAGCGTTGATATCTTTCGCTCGTCCATTTACAAATCGAAGACTGATCGACGCGATTTCAGAATTAATTCGAAGGCTATATAACTGTCGAGTCTGAGAAATCGGTGACGCGATCGTTAACCAACAAGGAAACCCGAGTCCTCGCAATTATTCCTAGTGGCTATAAAGTAACGGCCATCGCGCAGAGGTCAATTCTGTCCCGTTATACTCGCAAAATATTCGAACGAAGATCGAAGGCGCAACGGTATCGCTGTTCGGAAAAGGGGTTTTATCTACACGCTGTCTGGTTTGATTTTCCCTTAGGATTTCGTGGAAAGTAAGGAAAAAGGAGGGAAAGGGAAGTGGAAACGCGACAACACGGGACTGGCAGTCTTTTAGAAAGGCGAAACGTAGCCGAAGCGAGATGAGAGGAGCGAAGATGAGCGGATGAGACGAGTGGAGACGGAAGGAGAAACGGGCTGGTCGTTTCGTCGCTCCGCGACAGATACGGGACATCCTTCTAACACGCGGCTCCAACGCTGCGAGGTTGTTCGGATCAATATTACAGGTAGCTCTACTCCCTGTGCCCGTTCCGCCCTTCCTTCGTTAGCTACGCCGCCATTCCTCGCCCCTCGAGCACACGCGTACGTACACACCGAGACGGTACCTTAACTCGCGCGCACCTGATTCTACCTCCTACGCTTTCAGCTAAGCCGAAATTTTACACCCAAGTTTTCTCTACACCGCGCAAAGTTCACCCTGACACAAGCAGCTATCTCTCCGTTAGCTACTCGAATCGTCGAACAGGTAGCTGATAGGAACTTCGTTATCGATACGATATCGGCGAGTGATCGATAGGGTACAGGGGTTGCCATGCGTTGTCCACTTTGTTCATCGAAAGGTTAAACTGGCAGCGAGCAGTAGCGGAATCGGATGATGGTGTTTGGGGAATGCGAACGACCTTACTTTCGTTACCTGATCATATCGAGGCTTACGAAACGACCTGTACCCGCGTGAGCGCGATCGAAAGAAACCCGCGTGGAAGCAGACCGAGGTGAATGCCCTTTTCCAGTTCCCACCACCACCACCGTCTCCATGCTTTACCCCTATTGCCTCGCGCCGCGGCGCCCCCTTACGATAGCCTTCTATTTTCCTAGCGTCCCGACGCCGATGCATCGTAGTATGCCATTCCCTTTCCCCTTACCTAACCCTCTGTTTCTGCTCTCCGTTGATTTTTCCTCAACCGCAGGCGAAAGCACGTGGATCACGCTATTGCTACACGAAAGCTGATAAAACCTCGTGTATCGAGGAAAATCGCTTGATCCTTTAATCGTCCCGGTAATGCGTAATAAACCGCGATTGCTTTTCCACCGTTGAGGGCGGAGATAAAAATAAAACGGTGGCAGGCTGCTAGGGCAGCTGGATATCGCTCATTTCGGAAAGCTCGAGGGGTCGAGAAACGAACACACGGTCACGCGACTTTTTACAAGCCGTATGTAAATGTCGCCGTAAATCCCGGCTGCAATTTACGCGATAAACGCTATTACCCTACCAGACTCGCCGATTTTCCATTTCGATACGCGAACGTCTCGTAAATCTCAGCCACGTCGGCCACCCTGATGTTTCACAGCTAACGACGTCAACTCTGCTCCAATTCCATGGAACTTTTTAAAGTTTAAAGCATCGAAAATTCGTGTACCATCGGCGAAGGGAACGCAACGCGCGGAGTCTCGCGTAACGAAAGGAAGGACGGTAGAAACATCTAATCCAATTTGGAAGGTAAAAGGGGAAAAGCCGGTCACGTAGGAAGAGGAGGGTTTGTACTAATAATCGGCCATTGTTGAGGGAATATAATGAATGTTGTCTCATGGACGAGGTTGGCCATTCTTCTTTCATGACGTTCTTCCTGTCCCATAGTCCCCCGTAATCCCCGGCTACGATTTACCCGGTTTCCTTATTCCCAGAGCAGATTTCATCTTAGATAAGCTCGAAGGGATTGACTTTTCTGACGAACACCGAAACTGCTCGCGTTCTTTTCAACTCAATTTCACAGTACGCCAGTCAAATTTTTCGTCGAGACCATTCGAATGCCGGCCCGAATATTCCTTTTACTCTTTACTTTTTAGATGCTCATAGAGCGTTATCTCGCCGCTTGAAACGCACGCCCACGACTTTTTTTCTCCTCAACGATCGACCTTTTCGATAACTTTACGGTTCGCGTTCGGCGTCGAGTACGAAGAGACTTAGGAAAAAGAACTCAGGTTCGTTACCCTCCGATATCTCGCCGAGTATCTCGAGTGTGGAAAAATAGGAAGGTTTTCCCGTTTTTCGGTGCACTTCACGATTCTGAAGCACGCGAATGCGAAAAGAAAATTATGACAGCGGGAGTCGGTCGAACGGCTGCTTTCTCGAGGCAGTAAAAACGAGATAATTATTATCGGGAAAGAAGGATCGATTAAACGCGGAGGAGAAAAGGAACGAGTCGTTTGAGCGACGCGGAAGATGGAAGAGTAATCGCAAGAAGGGGGTGCTTTTCCCGGATTGCCGGTGATCGCGGTAATCTGTAAGGCAAGAGACGAGGAGGAGGAGGAGGAGGAGAAAAGAGGGATGGTCGAAGCAGCAATTAAAACGTTACTAGAGGCGCGACGATTTCGCTACCTCTTTTTTTCTCTCTGTCGTCTAGCTCACCCCCTGGCGCCCTTCCTTCCTCTCTGCCGACTTCCGTTCGCCAGCGCAACTTATAAAAATTCGTAATTATGGGCTTATTAACGACTTAGAGAATCCAGTAAATTAACGAGCACGCGTCTCAAGAGCCTGGGTCTACGACAGCCCTTCTGCGTCCTCGTTCCGTCGACCTCGACGAGTCGGCTTTCGTCCTCCTTCTCTTCCTCGTCGCCCTTTTCCCGCGATATTCGTCCAACCCCTTAGACCACGATCTACTAACCACCGTGAGAAAAGAGAAAAGAAAAGAAAAGTGGGAAAAGCAGGAGAGGCGACGCAGTCTGCGAAATTGCGCGAGCTTCGCGGTAACGAAGTTGTCATTGCAATGGTCGCGAACCAAAGAATTTCAAGTTTTCAAAATATACTCGACTTTCTCCGACGCCTTTTTAAACTTGCAATCTCGCTTTGGAGAACTCGAACTCCCCTTTCTGTTTTTCCATCGACGTCGAACGCGAAAGTGCTCTTGATACGAGACGCGCCCTGTAACGCGTTAAGGCAGGTCTTGAAAACAGGTCTGCCCGGTACCTCTTCCTCTTCTCATTCTTCTTCTTCTCTGGCTGCTTCGCGCGAAGCCTTAACTTCGATGGATGAATCGAAGGATAAAAATCGTATGAAACGAGGATCGGATTAGGAGGAAAGTAAAAAAGTCGATAAGAAGGTCGAACAAAAGGGATGATCGGTGGGGTAAAAGTAGTTCGCGACGTCCCGCGGATTCGCCACGCGAATAAAACCCAGCTGTTAATAATTACCTTTAATCGACTGCCTTCTCTGGCAAACTTCGCTACGAGGCTCGCGGATTTTAATTGGTCAAAGAATCGCTTTTACCGTCCTTGGAGAAACTGGTTAGAGACGAGCAGTTTCAAACGATAATCGTAAGTCTCGGTTGGATTGTCGATCGTTCGGCGGATCTTCTCGATCCACTACCACCTTTCAACGGACAGGACAACTTTAATTATCCCATTTCTATTCCTTCGACTTTCTAATACGTCGGAACACGCTCCTCTTTCTTTTTATAATATACATCCGATTTTTACGGTTCGTTTGCGATTTTTCGCCATCTACCGCGACAAACTATCCTGTAAAGAGGGAACACGAACGGCGCGAAACTTTGCCAAGGATGCTAGGAATATCTGGGACAAGGAAAATCTCGCGCCTTGGCTTCGATGTGTTTCGCAACGACGTCTAACGTTTCACCGGCAAAAATGACAAAGAATCGAATGCACCTACTCGCGAGAGTTGGTCCACGCGTTCACCACACGATTATCGTTGAATCGTGCTTCGTTTCTGACGCGATCCACGGTTATTTTCGTCTCAGTTCCTTCGATCGATACATTCATCCGGCAAATATTTTTAGCGAGAAAACTTGGGGGCTCGTTGTATCGATTCGTACAACAATAGAGTATCGAGCGAGCTCATTACGGATTAAAAACTGAAGAAGCTTCTATCGTTATTCACGAAGAACCCGGCCAAAGAGATTTCAAATTCTCGATGAGCCGTCTAATTAATGTACTTATTTTTAGTAGGTCCGCCCTTCCAACCTAATTTGCATCCGCTGAATATGCAAAACGCGACCGCCTTGACCTCTTCCTTCCTGCTTTCCTCGATTCCCCAAATAATCAAGCAAACGAAAGAATATAACACGAGTCCGCGTATTCGCCGAAGGAAACATGATTAATTCGGGCAGCAGCGAATACCGTAACTCTGCAGATCAATTGCTACGGGAAATTAAGCTCGCTTCCAGTCTAGAGATTATGCTGCGCTACTTTACCGCCCACGATGTACCGTTACACGTTTTCTTTCTCTTCGCTTCTCTGCTTTCCGTTGCTTCTGTCTCGAGAGCGGGACCACGCCAACGCGACAACACGAACGCAACAATGGCACAATACGATTTACAGCTTGCCTCGAGAATATCGTGAACCATTTCGCGCATTTGATTCGACCGGGAATAGTTGAAATTTTCCCGCGTTCATTGTAATTTTTCCCGATGCTCCAAAATTTGTCGGCGACCTAACAAGGAGAGTATCGGTTCGAAAGAGATAGAAGGAAAGGCGAAACCATGGAGGCATCGCAGGAGAGGAGACTCTCGATGACGGGGCGGATGAAATTACGTATCTGTTCTTCGGCACCGCAGCCGCGTCCTTCGCGCGTGCCTCTGCTCATCGACTATCCTCTCCGCGACGAGCTTTCGGTAAAAATGTCAATTAGAACCTTTGAGAAAAATCGGCTAATCAAATTTCCCAACGCAACGATCGCGAGCAATCGACGTCGCGAGGTTCTTGTGCAAGCGCAAATTTTAATTGAGCAACGCGAAGGAAGAAAGGACGGAGTAGTTTTCACTCACCGTGCAGTTGCGCGAGCGATTGCAGCGTGCTGGCATTGCAGTTCATGTACCCTGGAACAGAGAAGATGAAAACGATTCGATTAATTGAACTTTTGTATTTATCGGTAAGACCGACGTTGCACGAAAGCGAGAATCGACCTAGGGAAGGAGATTTATCGCGTTTGCTTGCAGGAGGATCCACGCGCGCGTAACGTTATACACGCGGCACCGGTATTATATCGTAAGGGTGTAAGGGAAAAAGAACAGAGGAGAAAAATCAAACCACTCGCGTGCTGTTCTCGAAGATCGGGTTGCACGGTGTCGTAAGCAGCGACACGAAAGCCTGCTGTACCTACTGGATAACACGCGGTTGCATAATTCGAAAAAAGTTCGCGTTTTAGCCGGATTATCGGACGAAGGAGGCTGGCAATTGCTAACACCGTCGTTTTTCTAATAAATGATTTTTGCACCGATTTAAACATTCAAACGAACGACTTGTCAATAGCCCGTGTCGATCGATAACGATCGAATTACGAAGTTCGATCGGGCTCGATCCTTCAGCAGCCTTCGTCCGCTGCAAGGGAAATTGATTGTCTCGGATGATATCGATTCCCGAGACTCGTTACGATATCCGCGACTTTAACAGGTCTGGATTACGAAACTGACAAACTTGTTAGTACAGTGAGACGCGTAAAGGATAGGCGAGACCGGCTGGTTTTTCGATCACGAAACCGCGCCGTTGCTCAACGCTGTGATACGTTTTGAGCAAGCCGGTGGAGGCGCTCGATCAACTTACAATCGGGTTTAAGTTTAAGAGAAAGTTTGATCCCGACTTATCGTTTACAAGTGTTTCCTTTCTGTTTCGTCGCTTCGCGAGTTGTGGGAAGGCTCCGTTTGTGCGATCGACCGTCAATCGGATCGAACGGGGACGAGAATATCTATGAGAAGACCAGGGGCTATTCTCGAGTGCGTTTTTCGTTGCTCGACAAATCCTGAGTCCGTTGCTCTCGCGAAACGCTTTCTTCGCTCGTTTACACTCGGCTACGCTCGAATGTATCGAACGGTCGAAGCAACAAAGCAAGCGCTATTCGCGGCCAGACCGCGCCTCGCTGATTTGACCCGTCGACAAATACTTCTCTCCACCCTCCCTCCCTCCATCCCACCCTGTTTTCACGCGAAACAGCATTTACTTCGGAAACGAAACGCTCGCTTCGAGCCACGAAACCACGACGGCTTGACTTTTTGCCAAGCAACGCGGCTCCGCTTGTCTCTCGCAGTCGCTCCGTTTCGATAAAATTTCCAAACGCTTTCTCCTCCGCGGTTTTCTCCGCCGCGACGCGAATGAAAACCGCCTCGCGACCTGTCCGCTTTACCACGCCTTCGTCAGGCCGATCGTTTAACGCCAGTCAACCAACGAATACACCGTTGTACGACGTTGATGCTAGTTCAAGCCGCGATTTCCTGCCGTAACTTTATCGCCTTTCGAAACGGGCAAAGTCGACCATTTGCTCGACTAACCGAGTAATTTTGTGGGAATACGAGTCTCCCGGCCGAGTTTCGCCTATTCGATTAAACTGGCATCGGTGACATAACGCGAGCCACCATACGGATGTGCATATTAACCCATTTAGCTCCGTTACGCACGGACAATGCACGGTCCGCCTCGTGCACCGTACGGTCGAGTTTGATCGCGCAAACGAACACGGAAGAATCGACGATGCCTCTTGTTCGAAAACTCGAAGCCTTCTCTCCGATGCTAACGGGTGAGGGAGCTTTCTTCGAAGGCGAGAAGGTCGGAGGCGCGCGATAACCCCAAGGAACAGCAGCAATCACGCGTTAACGCCTGACGAATCGTTTCGATTCAGATATCCTAGTTAAATTCCCGCCAGTTTCAATGCTGCGTCCAACTCGCGCAACCGGAACACGCGCGTCCCGTTAACCGCACAACGAGATTAAACATCCTGTTCCTTCTACGAGGAAACGAGTGAAATAAATGGTGGAAACGATATAAGTACTGGCGATCGTCTAGTCGCAAACGTTATACTAACAAAGTAATCTTTCGACGCGAACCGCGACGATAAATTAAACGGATTGAACGCGATCTGTTCATTGTAGTGGATGCGACAAAAGCTCGTATGCAAAGGAAAAAGTGAGGAGAAAGATGGAGCGAAGTTAAACCGTCGATTTACGTGACAAAAGCTTCGTGGTTGTGGTCGTCGTCACCGTTGAACGCGAACGGGTAAAAAACAAGAGTGAGAAAAAGTTGATCAACTGGAATGTTACGCGGAGGAATAAAAAGATAACTCTTCTCGACTTTGCTCGCTGTACTATTCGACTGTTAAGAATAGTCTCGAGCATCGGCGAGAAGCTAACGTCGCAGAGACTAATCCGATTAAGTAGCCGCGAGTAGAGGGAACGAGACTACTTGAGAGTTCGAAGGAAGAAGAACATAGAACGTTTCGTGCTCGCGATCCGACCGGCTTCGATATAACCCTTGACCTTGCATCTTAAACACCGCTGACGTACTCCGCTTCGTTATCTCTCTCTCTCTCTCTCTCTCGCTTGGTCTCCTTCGATCCTGCACAGTCACGAGGCAGTTCCGTCTCTTTTTATGGAAAAAAATGAATTTCCGAAGCAACGAATGGAGAGAAATTTTCATTTGAACGACGAACGTGTACCGTTCTCTAACGTTTAGCGCAACCGAGACGATTTCTTATTTCGTCGGTTTAATTTCGTCGAATTCGAGTGACGTTTCGAGCGATGAAGAGGCACTCTCGAGCGGTTAGAGTGCGATCGTTAGCCGGCAAGCACGACCTTTGCGGCGGGCTACGAAAAAGCGGTGGACGCGAGAGATGCGGGCAATTCGGGGAGCCGGGCTAAATTTAAATGGCCCGGTACTCGACGAGGCGCTTGCACAGCCGTTCCATCCCGTCCCCACAGCCGGCTCCGAGCGGACGTTACCTATACGTGCCGCGTACACGTGCGTCGCGACCGATCAGCTGGCCCGCATGCAAGCTTCCACCACCCTCTTCCTCTTTCACCCATCCCTGCCCCGTCTCTCTCTCTTCCTGCCCCGTTGTCCCTCGTCGTTTGCCGTTCCGTTTCCGACGTCCCTTCGATACGGAGCTCCACTCGACCACCGCGAATTCATTGGGAAACGGCGCGCCGCGACCAACGGGATACCAGGCTGCGCCGTGGAAACGTTTCGCATCGCGAACGTTCACGGCCGAGTAAACCAACTCGCCGAGTGAACTGCAATTTTCTCCAGTCTGCCGACCACTCGATGCGTTTGCATCCGCGTCTGAGTCGATCGCGACGAGCTTCCGGGCGTAAGGAGGTTCTCGTGAATCGAGTCGACCCGTTTCCGCGTCGACGGACAAAATGCGAGGCGCCGAATTCGCCGATTAAGGGAGAAACTTGGTGAAACTGTTTAAGGAAGGAAGGAAGGATGAAGAGAGGTGGCGAGCAAGCGAGGAAGCGAAAACCAGGAGAAAGAGAAAAGGTTGAATCCGGCCGGGCAGAGGGTGGCTGAAACTATGCGATCGATAGTTGAATGCCCTCTAGTTGACATGCGTAGCCCATACCTGCTCTCCTACCCACGCTTTCGATAACTTTTTCCTTTCTATTCCAACCCTGCCGTTATCTCGATCAATCGCGCCTCGATAATTCGCCCCTTTTCCGAAGACAAGTAGAGAAGTAGAGATAGTCTTCTTCTTCGACTCTTATATATCTCTTCCCGTTGCTGTTCGAGTTTTATAGGGAAGAAGCTGGGACAAAATATCGCAGAAAGCGTCCCGTGTTGGGAATTACATCCAATTAGTCGCACGAGTTGGCATTGATCCGAGAAACGGTTCGATAATGCATTCCCGCATTAATTATCGTCACAGTTCCGAGCTATAATTATCCCGCGTATCGCGCGAACAAACTGCGCGAGAAGGAAATCGTTAGCTCATAGAAAATATACTACCAACGAATGAGTATTCGTCGAGCCGATCGTTAATTCGCCTCGATCCGTGTCTAATTTTAATCGTAGCAAACGGCGGGCCTCGTGAAAACGATCCTGAACCCTCCCCGTTCTCGCGAATGGGACAGTCAAATATCAGCACGATTGGCAGATTACCCGATCGAGAACTTGAATCGAAAACGCTTTCGTTTGTTAGAGAACTAAATCGATATCTTATCGGTGGTTCGCGATAACCAACCGACCGGCCTCGTTCAATGTTTTGCGTTCCTATGAAAATTACGCAACGCGTCAGCATTTTTTTTTTTTTTTCAAAATCCACGTATTATCAAGATTTTCTACGCGCGATAAGAAGTCGCGACTTTCTTGCCTCTCTAAAAGGAATTACGTCTAAAGGAGTTTTCCCGAAACATTTTCCGCGTAACGTTTTACGCAACTCTGTGTTCGTCCACCGCGAATCATGGCCGTCGTAAAGTCGATGATTTCGCGCGCTGTCACTGTACCTAGGCGTGCACATTAAAACGTACACGCGTTATATAATTGCGCATTGTTGCTTACGTAACGTAGGTGACTGTCGGTTAGGCGAAGGAAGCGCGTGCGATAACGGACACGGTAGGCGTTCGGGGATAAAACAACGTTGAAAAGAGAGTAGCTAGTTTTGTGGAAACGGATCGATCGGACGCGGTGTTCGGTGCCAAAAAATAGTGCACAGCGTGCATAGGGTCGGCGCGAATGACCGGCCGAAAAAGACTGGAGGTGCGGCCGAGGCCGATCGATACGGAGCAACCGTGCCGTGTCAGTAAATTCGGAATCGTATACACGATCGTTGCCAAAAACGCATCGATTCGACGAAAAATAGCCGAATCGTTCGATAGGAAAGAAAATGATTTCTCAATTACGCGATAGGATAATAGATGGTGTACAGGCTTGCGACCGTAGGCTAACCGAAACGTTGCAAAGAACAGTCTGGCTGCTGTTGGTATCGTTTTCGAAAGTCGGTCGAGGCTGTTGCGACAAGGGCCCGCTCGTTGAGAAACAACGCAAACGAGGAAGGGGTATTTCGTACGTGTACCTGTGAAGAAGCATGCCAACCAGCTACGAATCGTTCGTT